GTTGTTGTTTTATTTTACTTTTTTATTAAGAAATAAATGCATTGTTGGTTAAGGGCTGTAAGTATGCATTTCACAGTAATGTCTACACCTGTTGTATTCGGCGCATGTGGCAAATAAAATTTGATTTGATTTGATTTGATAAATCAATACAGATGTAGGATCTTAATTTGACACACACAATGACATAGGCATAAATCAATACAGATGTAGGAATCTTAATTTGAGACAGTTTGCTACGGCAGGACAATAATCTTGCAGCAACAGGAAATGTGAATTATTATGTGGATTATAATTCATGGGCATTTTTGTAGGGGTTTATACATTTTTCGAAAGGGAAAATCAAGTCTGAAATGTCAAAGTGTAAATTACAAACTTCATTAAACCTCAAATGCAATATAAGTTTTTAAGTTTCTACATTGCAGGAAAGTTCTCCTGCAACAGGGTGATCAAATTAATATCCTACATCTGTAGCCTAGAACTACAAAATCACAGCCCTATGAGTCTTATAGAGGGTCATGCATATTCAATGCCTTGCTGTATCTGTGCCATGAAAGAAAACACAATCAATGACCATTTACTCTGAAATTGCAATCAAATGAATGTACAGTAGTAATTAAAACCCAATAATGTTGCCCGCCGCAAGCTGGCGGAATGAGAAATACTACCATAAGGGATCTGATCTTTCCCGTAAGAATATTGGCGCCATTCTTCACAACCGAGCACAAATCGATGGTGCCAGTTCTGTGTGTGAACCCAGTGCCCATATCCTACTAATTGAAATGACACCAATTATGCCAATAGAATCAAGGCTGAGCCGTGTGCTGGTGTCTTTAGAGCAGTGTCAAACCTGGGAGACTCACAAAGCTAATGGCGCCACCGCCGCTCACTATCCACTCTCCCAAACAAATCCGTCTAAATGCCTTCCCTTTTCAATGGCCCCAGTCTTTTAGTGGCAGTGGATTAAAAAACACCTTTCTCTCTATCCCCAGATAAAAAGAACATTTACAATGTTCATTCGTTCAGAATAGATTTGGAGGATCTAAGCTGGTGGAAAAGACCACTGCAAATACAAAATGCAAACACACACACACACACACACACACACACACACACACACACACACACACACACACACACACACACACACACACACACACACACACACACACACACACACACACACACCCACTGTGGCTGGTTAATGAGAGGATCCCTGTGATAGGGAAGGCTATTTTGCAGAGGTAGTGTGCTTATGGGTGGAAAAACAGGGGTGGGAGCCAACTGCATATCTCATGGCTGCTTACCACCATGCAAACATTAACATGCTCAAACATACACACGCAGGCATACCCACAGGGACAGAAGAAGAGTATTAACAGTATAACACCTTCATTCTTTCATTTTTGTCAGTATAACCAAATTATTTTCAGAAACTCTCCGTATATTATGTAAGATTTGCAAAATTAAGCTAATTCTGAAACCAAAACTCAAATTCCATTCCTTTCATATGTCTTAGTGTCTCCATATCCCCTAGTTTCCCCGTCTGCTACAAGTAGCGATCTTCCTGCCAACTTCGCTTTGAAGGAGAAAGAACCTCCATGGCCCTTCAGACAAGACTGGAGCCCCAGTCACACACAGGAAAATGAATGACCAAACTTCAAAGGCACCTCTGGAAAAACACCACAGAAATGATTTAGACTAGTTAGCTCGTCCTTTTAAAGAGGACAGTGATCTCCAAATGAACACTCCAATGATCACCATGTATCACAGGGACACACTATTAAGGAATCAAGGAAATCTACAGTAATATACTCTGAGTGTACAAAACATTATGAACATTATGCTCTTTCCATGACAATAGACTGACCAGGTGAATCCAGGTGAAAGCTATGATCCCTCATTGATGTCATTTGTTAAATCCACTTCAATCAGTGTAAATGAAGGGGAGGAGACAGGTTAAAGAAGGATTGTTAAGCCTTGAGACAATTGAGACATGGACTGTGTGTGTGTGCCATTCAGAGGGTGAATGGGCAAGACAAAATATTTAAGCGCCTTTGAACAGGGTATAGTAGTAGGTGCCAGGTGCACCGGTTTGAGTGTGTCAAGAACTGCAACGCTGTTGGCCAACTTGACACAACTGTGGGAAGCATTGGAGTCAACATGGGCCAGCATCGTTGTGGAATGCTTTCGACACCTTGTAGAGTCCATGACCTGACGAATTGAGGCTGTTCTGATGGCAAAAGGAGATGCAACTCAAATCAGGAAGGTGATCCTAATGTTTTGTACAATCAGTGTAGCTAATTGTCAATAGCCTACCTGATTATGAAACATACCATACAGAATATCTACAGACAATGCAAAACCATTCACCACATCTTACTGGAGATATTTTCCCTTCGACAACATGAAAAGCATGTTTTATGATATCTGTATTTTTCAGCAAAGGGGAGAAGACAGTTGTGACAAACTGTGAGGAGCTGAATAGTACATAGTAGTACATATGTACATATATCATATGAATAGTACATATGAAGCAGAATGAAAAATAACTAGAAAGGGGCGGGGAGGAGAGCAGAGAGGATGGAAGATAATACATGTTTAATTGATTCCCTCTATTCCCACACTGTGCCTCTGCTGGATGAATACATTTCACTGGTGCATTCTGGCTCACCCACACACTCTTCCTCTCACTCCTTCTTTTCACTCATTCTCTCTCTCACGTGGACAGAACATGGACAAGCACATGACAAAAGCAAACACATATTAGACATATTGAGAGTTTGGGACTATAAGATTTTATCTGCAAAAAGATGATTCTGAGATAATTGGCTTTAAAGTTCCGAACCTTCATTGGTCTCAGCAATTTTTATCTTGTATTCGTTTGAACTTAACATTAATTGGGGTATTTAGAGTACTATATTTAAATGATAATGCCAGAGAAGCTAGTGTTTGGAGGATATATTGGCACGGGTGTTGCCAATATATCCTCCAAACACCGGCTTCGAGGGCATTATAACTTTTATACAACGGGTTACCAACATATTCAAATAACTGACATATTTTCATTAAAAATGTTATTTTTATGAATTTATTCATACTATTTCATCCTTCCACAAGATATAGTCCCAACACAAATCTAGGGTTGCTACCTAAGCCGGTTGGTCGTTCGTTCTATCGGTTCGGTTGCCAGAGACGTGACCCAGTCATTCAGTCTTTTAGTTCTGTATCTATGGACACGATCCAGTCGTTCGTTCTAAATGTTCCATAGCCATACTGGCTGGCAACGTTCTTATCCCTTGCTTGCTAGCTAGCCAACTACGGCTAACTTACAGTCACGTCAGGTAGCTTAGTGGTTAAGAGCGTAGTGCCAGTAACCGAAAGGTTGCTGGTTCTAATCCCCGAGCTGACTAGGTGAAAAATCTGTCGATGTGCCCTTGAGCAAGGCACTTAACCCTAATTGCTCCTGTAAGTCGCTCTGGATAAGAGCGTCTGCTAAATGACGTAAATGTAAAAAGTGCAGCCAGAATAACAGCAAAGTAGCTGCATTTGTTTAAGTTGTTTTCTAGTGACATTTATTTGGATACATCCATAACATTGAGCTAATGAGGCGTGATTTCGCCTGGCATAGAACATTTACTCACTCGTCAGGACACTGTTGTTCATAGGAACTAGCCAACAACACAGCTAACACAATCACTTCAAACTGAAGCTGGAAAGAATGCAAACTGGTTGCACTTCATTTTGTTTGACCTTTTTTCAATTGACATTTCTTTGTATATATCCATAAAAATGATGCCAGTTGATTCATGATTTAGACTGGCTGAGAAACACTGTCTGCCGGCCTGTCTCGTCCCGACACGTTCATTACTATGGCACAGCTGGAGATCTAATTTGAATATTAAAACAATGTTGCAAATGTCGGAGAGGCAGACAGCAAGGTTTATACAAATCTCCGCTGTTGTTAGTCTAAAAGAAATGTGAGATAATTTATAGATGCTTTTTATAGCATCAAGTTTATAAACTGCTTGGCTGGGCTGATGACACATTGGATTGCGCAGTCAGATGGAACAGAGTAAATAGGCATTTTAACGTCATAGATTTAGCCGGTGGTAACTTGTGGAATAGACACGGTTTTAACCAATCAGCATTCAGGGTTAGACCCACCCGCTGTATAAAGGTAGAGAACATTGAACAGAACAAGGTTATGTCAACAACTACATTTTGACAAAAGAGTAGATAGAACCTTGTAGTCCCAATCTTTCGATATATGTAATAAAAAAAAATGCATAGAAGGTATTCAAACACACTTTCACACACTCACAACAGCTAGAGCTCTGCTACCTGACCCGAGCCCGATGGGCCCCGACATTATACATTGGGTAAGGGCTGGGTTAGGGCTGGGTTTTCATCAATAACTAGGGTACGGGCATGGCCTGGGTATCACTAAACTGATCACTAACATTTTTAAGCTGACCGATTTGCATGTGCTCTGCTGCGCAGTACAGTCATATCTGACTAAGATCATAACATGGTGTCAGAAGTGCTTCAACCTCGTCAAATATAAGACAGGATAGATTATTTCACAGAACATAATAATGTTCCTTGTCGGAGTTTAGAGTAACGAAAAGTAGCTAACAGGTAACTGCTCTCTCAGCAGCCCAAGCGGAGCCGTTGCTATGATTACTCACAGACTCAGAGCCCCAATGAGCAGCGTGCGTGCAGAGCGAGCTGCACGTAGGGAGCGAGTGACAGACAGAGAGGAGCAGCTAATGGATTTACTAACGGAGGAAGATATTTCTGATTTTGGGTTTCGGGCCGAAGGAATCGGGCCTGGGTAGGGGGGGGGGGGGGGGTGTAGAAGGATTACTGTTAGACTATTCCAGGTATTCCTTAAAGAGGTAGGGTTTCAAGTGTCTCCAGAAGGTGGTCGTGACTCCACAACCACTATCATCCAATTTCCAAGGCTAAAAGCTATGTTGCTGCCAGAGGGTTGCGCATTCTCAGTCCGTAGGTGGCTGTATAAGTGTGTATGCGAAATTCAAGACTATAAGCACCAGCAGTGTGCTAAATAAAGATTACCTAAAATACAGTAGGCTATATTTTGTTATCATGGTAAGTAATCACTGCTTTTGACATTACTACAGGTTGGGATCAAAGATAAACACACATATGAATACAATCTCAACAAACCATCAAAGAAATTAGAGCAAATTAATATAACCTTGAAGTTTGTTTTTAAAAACTATTTTTATTGGTAATGAATGAGAGGAGCAGAGGAGCAGAGGATCAGAGGAGCAGGGGAGCAGAGGAGCAGGAGAGCAGGGGAGCAGAGGAGCAGGGGAGCAGAGGAGCAGAGGAGTAGAGGAGCAGAGGAGCAGGGGAGCAGAGGAGCAGAGGAGTAGAGGAGCAGGGGAGCAGGGGAGCAGAGGAGTAGGGGAGGCAGAGGAGCAGAGGAGCAGAGGATCAGAGGAGCAGAGGAGTAGAGGAGCAGGGGAGCAGGGGAGCAGGGGAGCAGAGGAGCAGAGGAGTAGAGGAGCAGAGGAGCAGAGGATCAGGGGAGCAGGGGAGCAGAGGAGCAGAGGAGTAGAGGAGCAGGGAGCAGAAGAAGAGGAGCAGAGGAGCAGGGGAGCAGGGGAGCAGAGGAGTAGAGGAGCAGAGGAGCAGGGGAGCAGAGGAGCAGAGGAGCAGAGGAGTAGAGAAGCAGAGGATAAGAGGAGCAGGGGAGCAGAGGAGCAGAGGAGCAGAGGAGTAGAGGAGCAGAGGAGCAGAGGAGTAGAGGAGCAGAGGAGCAGAGGAGCAGGGAGCAGGGGAGCAGAGGAGCAGAGGAGCAGGGAGCAGGGAGAGCAGGGGAGCAGGGAGCAGGGAGCAGGAAGGAGTCAGAGGAGCAGGGAGAGGCAGAGGAGCAGGGAGAGAGAGCAGGGAGCAGGGGAGCAGAGGAGCAGAGGAGGGAGTAGAGGATCAGAGGAGCAAGGAGGAGGCAGGGAGCAGGGGAGCAGGGAGCAGAGGAGCAGGGAGCAGAGGAGCAGAGGATCAGAGGAGCAGGGGAGCAGAGGAAGGGAGCAGGGGAGCAGGGAGCAGAGAGAGAGCAGAGGATCAGAGGGTGGAGCAGAGGAGCAGGGGAGCAGCAGGCAGGGAGCAGGGGAGCAGAGGAGCAGGGGAGCAGAGGATCAGAGGAGCAGGGGAGCAGAGGATCAGAGGATCAGAGGAGCAGGGGAGCAGAGGATCAGAGGATCAGAGGAGCTGGGGAGCAGAGGAGCTGGGGAGCAGAGGAGCAGAGGATCAGAGGAGCTGGGGAGCAGAGGAGCAGGGGAGCAGAGGAGCAGAGGATCAGAGGAGCAGGGGAGCAGGGGAGCAGAAGGAGCAGAGGAGCAGGGGAGCAGGGGAGCAGAGGACAGAGGAACAGGGGAGCAGAGAAGCAGAGGATCAGAGTACAACCACACAACAACACAGACATTCACCTGAGGGGAGCGCTTTAGCTTATTCTATGATTCACCACCACAGGTGAGATAAATATCTCTCACACACACACGCACACACACACACACACACACACACACACACACACACACACACACAGCCTGTGGAGTCCAGGCAAGATCCATCTTTATTAAATTAAATTATATTAAAGCAGCAGCTCAGTGCATATGTTTTAATTACAGGGGAAGGAGGGAAGGTGTAGGGGGGAGTTTTATTTGTATTATTTCTCTGTTTTTCGCCTCAGGCCTACTCAGCTTTGTCGATCCCAGTGGATATGTTTCTACTCTGTGATAATATTCATTGGGATGTAATTAGTAATTACACTCAGGCTTTAAGGTTCCTTCTACTGTACTATGGCCCATGACTACAGTCAGATCAGGCTTAGTGAGACAAGGGCCAGGATTCAATCGCATCGTGATTTGTGGACAACGCAGCTTTTAAAGGCAATGTTCCCACGTTCACGAAGACCGCATTCACGGTAAATGCTGCATTTGTAGGCTGAATCGGATATTAACTTTAAATGGTGAATTGGTGTTAATGCGCGATCGGATTGAATCCCTGCCAAGGGCTGTTTATGGCCAAGAAACCCTGGACCATTGAGAATGGATTCTAAAGTTGTAGTTGATCAAATGAAATCTACTATTTGGAGAGTTTTCATGTTTTGAACACTGAGTATTGAGTTGCACCCCTTTCGCCCTCAGAACAGCCTCAATTTGTCTGGGCATGGACTCTACAAGGTTGTTTCAAGTTGGCTGGATGTCCTTTGGGAGTTGGACCTTTCTTGATACACATGGGAAACTGTTGAGTGTGAAAAACCCCAGCAGCGTTGCAGTTCTTGACACAGTCTAACCGGTGCGCCTGGCACCTACTACCATACCCCGTTCAAAGGCACTCAAATATTTTGTCTTGCCGATTCACCCTCTGAATGCCACACACACAATCCATGTCTCAATTATCTCCAGGCTTACAAAATCCTCCTTTAACCTGTCTCCTCCCCTTCATCTACACTGATTGAAGTGGGTTTAACAAGTGACATCAATAAAGGATCATAGCTTTCACCTGCATTCACCTGGTCAGTCTACACTGAGTGCACAAAACATTAAGAACACCTGCTCTTTCCATGACATAGACTCTCTCTCTCTACAGGATGGATGGAGTGTGCCATGGCTTCATGCAGCCCACATACTGCATCTGTTCCTTCCAGCTGTTCATGTCACCATAGTAACCCGGCATTTCAGCTCCATACAGCCGGTCCGGAAGGTCAGCCGAAGGGAGGGGGGTACTCTGGTGACATAAGCACCCCAACGCACACACATAAACAAACACACACACACACACACACACACACACACACACACACACACACACACACACACACACACACACACACACACACACATAAACATAACAAACACACTCTACTCCTCTTATGCCCTCATCATTACCAGTGCACACACATCATCTGTATGCCTATAAACCTACACAAACACACTCACATAAGTAGGCACACACACATTCATCACCTCCGCCACAAGAAATCATGCTGCCAGCTGGGCCCCCTGCTTGCACACCCACTCTAGCCACCTGGTGAGAGAGGCATGGCTGGGGCACAGATGGTAAACAACTGGGGACACCTGTTTGGAAACATGTCATTACGGTGGGAGCTCAGTATTCTGCATGCACTGTGATGATGTAGCATTGACTATGCACTGCAAATGGGTTTGTGCCAGAAAGTAGCAGGGAGAAATGAAGGAACCAATATTTCTTGGAGGTAGTTCTTAATGATTGTGAGGTTAGGAAAGGGGTTGATACATTTGTTGCAAGCTGACCATATGGAGCCCTGTGTTATACCAGGGAGAGCAGGAGAGGTTAGCACTTCTGTGCTCTGTGTGTGTTTGAGAGACTTACTGATGTGTACAGGAAGCCCTCGCTGTTCATGGCCAGGTAGAGCTTGGTCTGAACTCCCTGGATCGCCACCACTCGAAGCCCCACTGGAATGAGGTTGAATATGGCTGGGGAGGAGAATCAAGCTTTATTTATACAGCACATTTCAGACATGGAATGCTAATATAAAAAAAATATATAAAAAATTAAAATAAAAAAAAAAAACAATGAAAAAAATAACTGAAATATTTACTTCACAACAAACACAAAAGGATAAAAAAACGAATGAATAACACTTAAAAAAATGAAAGAATAAAAAAGCATAAGGAAAAGCAAAGCTAAAAATGTGTGTTTTAAGATCTCTTTTTAATATGTCCACAGTTTCGGCCCCCCTCAGGTTCTCTGGCAGGCTATTCCAGAGGCTGGGGGCATAATAACTAAATGCTGCCTCTCCATGCCTCTTGGTCCTAGGCTTTGGGATAGTTAAAAGGCCAGTACCAGAGGACCTGGGGGACCTACTGGGAAAAAGAGAGAGTTACTCACAATCCTGTCAACAAATAGAGGGAAAAAGTCTAATAACTTGTGAAGAATATGGTAGGCACATGCTTTATCCACCAATAAATAGTATTTAGTGAAACCATGTCTCAGTCTCAGTTTTCCATCTAAATATATGACTATGTTGTAAACTGCAGCAGGTAGCACAGTGTCGCCATCATAGGAGCGGACCTAATCCAAGTAGAAAACAACATAAAGCTAAGACTCCTGCCCCCACTATTCCTGCCAACCATATCCATTCACTCTACCCCAGTCTACTCAATGGAGTTAGCTACAGTAGTGCTTAGCTTAGCAGGCTAAAGAGAGACCTCCCTCAGCCTGGCTCTGCCCTCTTATGCCAAACCCGCTCACACCTTTGTCCTACTGTCACCGTGCTAGCCAGGAACCTGACAATCTCCCCTGGCCACACTGCATTCGTATGCCAAGGGATAGAGAGGCAGCCCGCCACCACAGAGGACTACACTAGAATTCCGGAAGAGAGAGGAAGTTTTCATAGTGTGAGCAGTGTTGGAGAGAGGCAAAAGATGTAGTCTTAAAAAGGTTACATAATGCTTTAAAAAATATATATAAACTCTCACCCTCGCTGAAAAAAGGCTAACAGGGACGATGGTTGGTTTGTGCTCTTTTTCTCAAAGTGAAGCTGTTATTGTAGCTATTGCTGTTAAGCCATATTGTAACTGTTTTCTCAGACTTACGGCAGGCAACATCAGGGCCAAACAGTAGCTTTGCTGCTGTGTCCTGCCCAGTCCTCTTCTGTCCTGCCTGGCATTAATTGTGCACAGTGCTGCCATGCTGCCACATCCATGCCCTCTAGTAACAGAGCGCAGGGTCGGGCACATCTCTGTGTGAGGGGATTTACACTAGGGATGGGAACGGTTTTTCAAATTTTGGAATATCCGAAAGGACGTTAGTATTCAAATACTTGCGAGAATATTCATTTTTTATTACGTGCGCCTCAGAAAAAGACCGTATAGCCTACACAGGTTTCACACGAGTAGCTTATTATTGTTGGCACTACAGTCAGAAGCTCCATGAGTAGCAACGTGAAGTCGGAGATCTCTAATCAATGCAAAATGGAATTTCAAAAATATGTACTTGAGAAATACTGCACCAAACACCTTAGTTAGATGTAAAATTGCACAACTAAAACATAATCGGCAAAAATGTCCAAATTCATTAAAGATTTATTGAGTTATCTTAGATTCATTCTGGGGATTTTGAGGAAGTGAAATAGGCTTCCTCGACTACAGTGTCACACGGGGGACAAACATCATTAACCAAACGCGGAATCGGTCAGGAAACACACCTCCAAGACTGAAATCACATTTTTCTAATAAGCAACAGAAAAACACACGTGTCAATCGGCATGTTCAGTGGCTCTTTAAACCCCCCTCTTTTTGTGTTCTAGGTGGCCGCCCACAGGAAGTTATGCAGTATGGTGGATCCTTTTGCAGAGAGCTTGTAGCTGACACGTTTGGTGAGAGCACAATGTTAACGGAGTTGTGCTGTTGTGACTAAGTTCTGAGAAAATAATATGGATGCCTGCCTGCTGGACTGTGTTGCTTCCTATACCCCTTTGTTTTATTTTGTTTGGTTTGCATGTTTGTTCTGTGATTTTAATTAGCATGGTTTTTAAAGTCAAATAATGAAAATAGAAGAACTGAGAAGTGAAAGCAAAGTATGGATAACTTGACAACGATATGGATTGATGTTATAAACTCATTTGAAATGTTTTATGGAGAAAGTAATGCCTTGTTTGAAAACTGATCCTATGTCTGCCTCTATTTCACACTGCCTGCTCAACCCAGATCCTAAGAACCTGGTTAGTTTTCCACCGCGTGACATAAACACTGTAGAGGTGGTCCTTTAGGATGATGCCATGAATACACCTTGATCTCTCCTCCTCTATTTCCTCCATATCGCCTCTCCTCCCGTCATCTCTCCTCTCCTCCCTTTATTTCTCCACCTTCCTCTCTTCCCTTCATCCTCCATTAATGCCACATCAAGGCCCTGCCAGCTTCCCTCCCTGCCTTCCGGAGCCCCAGCAGACCTGGGCTAATCCCAGTCCCACCAGAGCCCTCCACCCTGAGCCACATCTTCTGCCTTCTACACAGAGATAACTGATCTGGGATCAGCTAACTATGTTACTTACTGCTATTTTCAGAGGCTCTGTGTGGTGTAACTGGCTTTCAGGTAGGTGGGCCTACACTTACATGAGTGTGGTAGGAAGTACTTTGTGGATTGTGTATGTATGTTAGTTTAGTTGATGTAGCTAAAGTGTTTTTTTTGTTGAAAGTATCAGTAGGGGCATAGACAGGATTCCATTTCCATCATAGTCAATGTTCCCTCTAAGCTGCTCGCGTGCGCAGGTGCGCAGTAGCCCGAGACTGCCGTGCTGCCCCCCTGGGACTGCGGCACAGAGCTCAGAAGAAATATCAGCCCACTGAGAGAAGCACGAGATTGAACTTCACTCAACTTTCTAGAGTTTTCCCTGTTAGTTAGATAACACTATCAATGTTTCCCTTTACTGTGGCAATTGTGATCGAATCAACGCAATATTAGCCCCTTTCAATGCAACATACCAAAACAAAACAAACTATGCAAGAGATTTTGTTGTAGGCAGAACACATCGGAGTAGGATTCTATTGTGCATGACTCAGCCTGTACTCTACACAGACAGGTGCGGCATTACCGATCAGAGCTGCAGTAGGCCTATATGGAAATAGACCATTGCCATATATGGATCTGTGCCATTTACTTTGAACTGGACTGTGTTTACAGCTGTGGTGTTAATAATGGGCTTGTTTTGAGATCGAAGCAAGAGCTGCATGTAGCCATGTGTGCACATTTTGTTCATATCCTTTGCTAGTTAGTGAGTTATTAGCCCAGTTATAGAAATATTTGTAGTCAGCAATAGGGGAGTGATTGCTTCCTACAAGAGCACAAAACGTGTACATTTCTAGACATCTTTGAAAAGCAAGTCAGTTAAAGAGCTTTTTTTGTCTTAAAAGGACAGTGTTGTATTTTGAGACAGGCTTGAATAAGCTAAGTAGCCAATAGGCAGATTTGTCTGATTCTCTGTAATAATGGTATGGGAATAATAATGCATTTTATTTTGTAAAGTGGTTTCTTGCATCAAACAACACAACAACATTTTCAGTCACCTTCTTGTCTGAAGGACAATTGGATAAACAGGTTAATGTCAAGTCCCATGGAATGTAGGCCTACATTGAGCACCACACATTTGCTGCCACTGTAGACTGAATGATATAACAACTATTTCCATGTTAAGATGTTATGGGATGAATTTTCTCCGTTGTTTTTGATGGTAGGCCACTCTGGTAGGCCTACATTATGATCAAATAGCCACAGTAGCCTACTTGGCCACTGTTAAAACTGTAACTTAAAGTGGGTGTTCAGCGTTCACAGAAAAAGCGCTCTGGAAGTTGCACAGAATTTTCACAACGTTCAAGTTTGCACTCAGCAGACCTGAAATTTGCTCAGTGCCTAATTGTTTTTGAGGGAACATTGATCATGGTATAGGTGACCCCATTCCCGCTACAGCTCATCTCCCTGTAGCACGAGGGGATCCCTCCACTTAATAATACTCCCTCTCTCCCTCTTCCAGTCCCCATCTCTCTCTCCCCATTTCTCTCCGCCTCTCTCTCTCTCTCTCTATTTATCTCCTTCACTCTTGATCTATTTCTGCTGCTGCTCATCTGACTACATGAATCTATCCACTTAATGTGTGTCTCTCTCTCCTCTCTCTCCTTTTCTCTCTCTTCGCTGCGTGTTGAGACCCGTACCCACGACACAGACACAGCTGCGGTAAACTTCATTTCAGGGGGATTACCAGACAATCGGCCCCTGGGGAAACTCAATTACTTCTACCTCACAAAACACCTGAGGTGCTGGAGGAGAGACCGGGCCAGGGCTGAGGCTCCCGCACCACACACACACACCCGACACACACACATACAAATAAACACGCACGCACACACACACGCACAGACTCACGACTCATTACCTCATCATGACCTCTAGCCTGTTCTCTGTCTCATCGTAACCACTGACGGACATGACCATCACTATGACTCTTTTTGCTCTGTCAATGGTCGGCAGTGGCTGATACAGTGACAAACTTTCAGATTCCCACTGACCTTTAGGTTTACAATAACACACTAACCTGAGCATAAAGTACATGTTTCTAAGTCAGTGGGTTGTGACTACTGTCAACATGAACATAAGAGAAAGAGACATGCTTAGTCCTCATAAGAGACTAACTACTTTCTACACGTGACTACATTTTATTGTATTGTTCTACTTCAAACCCACTGTTTCTGTTTCTGTACTGCATGTCGGAAATCCCGAGTGGCACAGTGGTCTAAGGCACTGCATCGCAGTGCTAGCTGTGCCACTAGAGATCCTGGTTCGAATCCAGGCTCTGTCGTAGCCGGCCGCGACCGGGAGACCCATGGGGCGGCGCACAATTGGCCCAGCGTCGTCCAGGGTAGGGGAGGGAATGGCTGGCAGGAATGTAGCTCAGTTGGTAGAGCATGGCGTTTGCAACGCCAGGGTTGTGGGTTCGATTCCCACAGGGGGCCAGTATGAAAAAAAATTATGTATGCACTCACTAACTGTAAGTCGCTCTGGATAAGAGCGTCTGCTAAATGACTAAAATGTAAATGTAAAATGTCTGAGAACCATTCTCCATAGGAGATGATTAGGAAGGAACAAAGCAGTGCTGCTGCACCCAGGCTTAACGAGCAGAGCTCAGATCATCAGCATTAACATTACTGTTCAGGTCTCAACATACAGAGAAAGGGACAAACAGATTCAAATCTACCCGACGACAAACGCTTCGCCTCCCAACCCCTGGCCATTGATTAGCCAATTAGATCAATGTGTGTGAATCTTGGCTGAAGGGTATAACCCGATTGATTGAGCAGTGTTCTTTGGCTGTTATTATACAACATTAGGGTCTGTCTCTTTAACTCATTGTTGTGACAGTGAGGAGAAAGGGGTGGGTGAATCCCCTTTAAGAATGTCTTTAATCAGTGTTCCTTCTTTGGAAACAAATTAGTATGCATGGACAGTATTTAGCATAATCTTTCAGATCATAAACAACCAAAAACTGTGCTACAATGTATAAAAACATTGTTTTAATGTAGGAAGGATTTGTTGATTCAACACTTGATATTAATTTGCCTCTAATGAGGGCTGCCTGATTAGTAATATTATTTTGATAGGTCAACTAATTTCATGGCTCAAAAACGGCCTGCTCAGCTAGAGCAAAAATTGGACTGCTCTGAATTTGGTAAACATCAACAAACACTGCTGTATATTCATGAGAGTGCTACCGCAGCAATGTTAGAAGGCTTGTGTGTGTGTGTGTGTGTGTGTGTGTGTGTGTGTGTGTGTGTGTGTGTGTGTGTGTGTGTGTGAGCTTGTATTTGAGTAGGTCCTCCCCACCATCACAAGACACCAGTAGAGCCATCACCACTGTACTGCCGTCACCATGGAGACAAGAGCACCCAGCGCCTAACAACTCTATTTTTGGACGGGTGCAAACAGCTTCACTTTTCTCCCCTTCTTATTCAACCAGGCTGTATAATGTTTTTCTTCCAAATGGAAATGTTTTGGTTGGGAAAAGCATGCCAATTGTTACATAACTTATCTCAATAGGTAACTGTTAATGCATCTATCTAACCAGCACTACGAGAAAAGGGAGTGGTTATGTGTTGTGCCTTCTTTGAGTATGTTGTGTTCGGACTCTCTTCTCTAAGTACGCTACCTCCCTTCTATTTAATTCATATCTCCTTCATCCCTCCTGCCGCTCTCCTCTAGAGAAGGCAACATAGTAAAACCAGACGATTACCGAGTCATTTATTGCTGCGGCTGACACGCAGGCTGCACAGAAGGGTTGTCAATTTGTGTGATAGAAGCGTCATCTGGTTTAAGTGACTAATTGAATATAGTCAGGGCTAATTTACAGTCTCCCAGAATGCCACAGTAATTTAGCGTCAGGGTGATGGTGATGCAGGCAGCGGCAGGTATGACATTAGTGCCTTGATGACAAACCACATGGCGCCATCTGAGGCACGGGTGACGAGCGGGCACCTCCGAGTCGCGCCAACGCTGGGAGGGCATGGCGCTCTGGGACAGGTAATAGTCTACCTAACACTCTGCCAAGGCAACTCTGGTAGAGCACTTATCAGGACAGGGTAGGACTGTGTTCATATAACAATAGCAGTCAATAGACAGGTTTCCATTGACCCAGGTTTACTCGACAAAAGCAATGTCACCCCAAAAAATCATTGCACCATGTGTAATGGAAACGGCAGATATAGGAGACATTTTCTAAAGATTGACAACATTTTTTATCCATTTGACAGGGATGAATTTTTATTTAGTCAAACTTTCTTTATTGCGCCAAAATAGATGAAAACTGTGTTTTTCGAATAAAATATGATTGTCGAATAATTTTGAAGATACATGGAGCACGTGATGTCAACACGTAACTATAAAGCTCCACTATTCTAAATCTATTTTTAAACTACAAAAATAATGTTTATTTTCAGGATCCTTGTCCTGACTTTCAAGAATTGGCTGAATTATTTCGCCTTGCTTTTCTGGTTGGCTGGATGCAAGTTTCAACATTCAATTATTTCAGATCTACAGGAGTGCAAGTTTCACCATGGCACAGACCGAGACGATACGTTCAGGCACATGATAATTATTAGAATATGGAAAATATTAGTAAATTCTTGGATTCTATCCATGCTGGCTTTTGCGAGCTACCTGAGACATTAAACAGATAGGCGGGAGGGCATACAGGCTGTCGCCAATTTATTAATGCGCAATTTGGCTAAATGGGTAATGGAAACACTTCAACCACTATATTTCTATTCGACACTGTAGGTTTTTGCGATTTATATTTTAGGTGTGATGTCATAATGTCCAGCTGTTTTTATCGATACAAGATTGTTAAATGGAAACACACTGTAGCAGGAAATTGTCAAATATATTTTTTCTATGCAAACTTTCTAAATGTCGACCAAAAAAATCACTGGACAAGTTAATGAAAACATAGCTAGTGATCTTTTTTTTTACTGAGAAGTGTCATAATAACCAAGTTTCCATCCAACCTTTCTATGCCAGTAAAGTCCATGTCAGATAAAATATGTCACAGCAGGTCTGATGGAAACAGCAACTTTGTCAGTAAACTTTCCAAATGTCGACAACAACAAAAAATACGCAAGACAACGTGGGATCTTTTTGTGTCTGTAAAATTAATTATGCAAGAAATGGCGGTGGAAATTACTTTACGCGCAAATATTAATATAATAACCATCATATCGAAGTAAACTTGGAGTGATGCAATGATATGTTGTGTGGTTAACCGCAAAAGTTATTTTTATGTCCACTACGACATCACACACAGCCATTTATCTGCAACAAGTTAATTTGATGGAAACACATCTCTTGTTTACTGTGCGGATGTATTGTTTTTATGCAGATTTTATTGTTTTTATGCAGATTTCATAGTTTTTATGCAGATTTCATAGTTTTTATGCAGATTTGAGAATATTCACTTGAAAATCTGTCGCCAATTGGATGGAGACCTAGCTAATGACATACAATTATTTGACATCCAATACAGTTGCCAGCAATAACAGTCCTGGTTTAACAGAGCAGGTAGCAGCTGTCAATAGTCACTGTGTGGCAATCAGGATGAGTGCATCTCTAACAGCCTGCACAGAAAACACTGGGACTCCATGTGCAGAGCCCTCAAACATCCATCAGTCTGTACATCTATCTAATTTATATATATCCACTTGTATTGGATTGTGTTTGGGCCTGTTGAATGTATGCTGTTTTTTAACTATCGATCTCTAATTTAATCTGTCCATAGAAAAACATAGCATCAAGTGGGAGTAATGATAGTGAATTATCAATACTGTGTGGATTACAGAAAGCCTGCTGTTACTAAAGGAGGTATGTAAGAGATTAAAAAAGCCAATCAGCCACTGTACTGAGGCCATTATACTATCAGTCTGCCTAAGCACAATCTAATGCTCCAAATCATTGCCATAGACCACTTTCTTTTCTATTGTTCAGTTGAGACACATCTTGAAGGCTTTGGAAAATCTAAGGAAGGGATAATATGGGATACAAATAGACTGAACTAAATAAGTCTATCTGTATGAGCAAGCGAGGAGATACGCAGTAAATATCTGTAGCAGTGGAGAGAGCTCAAATGTGATCCGAGCTAGAAAGAATGTCAGCAACAACTTAGTACAGTATGCAGAATGTACAGATCAAAGCTGTGCTTCTTCTTTGAAAGTGAATCAGCCAGGAAGTGTCTCCATGGTGTACTGTGTCGTAACACTGTTTACTGTGTGTTGATGCACAGTAACTTCCTGTTGACAGTGTTTATATGTACAGAGAAACAGGATGGTGAGAAGATGGGCTAGGTAGATGGATTAATTTGACACCCAAAAAAAGAAAAAAAAGAAAGGGACTACCTGAACTTGTCCAATAAGAAATGCTTGTTTTCTCAGTTTGTGTTGCAAAGTGTTATGCTAAGGTGTGCCCTAATAAATACACAGAGGAGAGGAGACTTACTGTAGCCATTGTCCTCCTCCTTCGTCCCGTCGATGGTGCCATCTGCTTGCAGCTGTAGGTGGAAGCCCTGTCGACTGTACAGCTTCGTCACGATCCCCTTCAACTGGGGTTCTGAGGCGAGAAGGAGAGAGGGAGGGGAGGGGAGGGAGGGGAGGGAGGGGAGGGGAGGGAGGGAAGGAAAGAGGGAGGGAGGAAAGGAGGGGAGGAGAGAGGGAGTGGAGGATAGGGGCAGTGTGAGATTCTGATTCTGCATCAAGGCTTGTCTCATTCCTGGAGAAAGATGAAGTTGCATCAATATGCTGGTGTAAGTTCTGTTATCAAGATGCTGATGTAAGTTCTGTTATCAAGATGCTGATGTAAGTTCTGTTATCAAGATGCTGATGTAAGTTCTGTTATCAAGATGCAAATGTAAGTTCTGTTATCAAGACGCTGATGTAAGTTCTGTTATCAAGATGCTGATCTATGTTCTGTTATCAAGATGCTGATCTATGTTCTGTGATCAAGATGCTGATGTAAGTTCTGTTATCAAGATGCTGATCTATGTTCTGTTATCAAGATGCTGATCTATGTTTTGTTATCAAGATGCTGATGTAAGTTATGTTATCAAGATGCTGATCTAAGTTCAGTTGTGTGCCCACACAAGAGCCTTATTTACCCATCCACCAGCCATGTATCGTTTAACAAGAGATCCTATCCTATAGAAGCCTGGCACGCTAAGCTATAGACTACAGTAACTAACCAGTCCCCCAGTCCTGCTCCCAATAGACCCAGCATAGCCACATTCTCAGCTCTCCAAAGGCTCAAGAGACCAGTGCAAACACATCCCTGCTGACATCTATAAACTCAAGCCATGGATACTGGTGTATGAGCAAACAGTTCCTGACTAGGGAGACTACAAAGGAAGTCTGGGTTTATTCCAAAGAGGCCTGTGGCTACACCGGAGAGGATTAAAAGGAGAATATGTGCTTAAGAGTAAGAGCAAATATTTATCTAGGATAAGCACTGCCTCGATATTTTAAAATGTCAACTGTCTATATGATGTTTGTGTATTCCCTAGCAAAAATGCCACGTTTTAAGATATGGGGTATACATCTTTCTTTTCTGGTGTAATTGATAATAATTTCTGTCCATCTATGCCATTGAAATAAATGTTCCTGGACAACTTAGAGCACACTCTTAAAAAGTACAAATTCTGCTAGCCAATTGGATTACCTAAGTCATTAGTTAAGAAAACTGGAACTGGCAGTGTCAATGTTTATACAATCTTGACATTTTGTTGTGTCATGTTTCAATAAGAGCTGTCCTTTATCCATGTCCCTGTCCCTAGAGGAGTGTCCTTTACTGCGGTTTACCACACCTTTCATCTTCTCTTTCACCTGCCTTACCTTTCAATCCTGCCACTTCTACCCTCACAAAGGTTACCGCCTGGCCGATACACATGCTTTGGCTATTTTTTTGCACCACTGGCTCCCTATTATCTGAACCTTTCAAGACCAATACAGAAGGAGGATGACGTCCGTTTCAAAAGCAGGGTGTTTCGCCAAAATGTCAGTCCATTTTTCCCAAGTCATCTGAGTGGGATGCTGTGTACTGTAGCCATCTGGGTTCATATAATAAGGCATAAAGAGCATGTTCTTCAATGTTTGCATTGAATGGATATATAGGGATTGGAAGAGGAGAATGCTTGGAAGACTTCTTTATTTGAAAACTCCCATGCTACCTCCAAAACACACATTCACAAAGGTACAGTATGTATCGGAGACAGGGAATGGCACCATAAGGTGAAATCAGTAGGCTGCTTTTTCTACCATGAGACATGCTCAGGGATCTTCTCTCTCACCCAAACACATGCACACACACAAACACACTCTGAGCCACAGCAGAAACTTCTCTGCTGCCGCTGAGGCTCCACATGTGTTACGTAAGCCACACACTGCCTGTCCTCGTCCCTTCCCGACTCCCCATCCCACCTCAGGGTGGGGCTGAGGAGTGATGATAGAGGGTATTGGCTAGTATCATGGTGTGTATCCAGTTCTGATCAAATCAATTCAAATCAATTTTTATTTGTCACATACACGTGTTTAGCAGATGTTATAGCGGGTGTAGCGAAATGCTTGTGCTTCTAGCTCTGACAGTGCAGTAATATCTAACAATTTCACAACATATACCCAATACACACAAAACTAGTAAGGAATGGGATTTAAGAATATATACATATATGGACAAGCAATGACAGAGCGGCATGGACTAAGATACAGTAGAATATTATAGAATAGAATGCAGTATATTCATATGAGATGAGTAGTGCAAGATATTAACATTTACATTTGAGTCATTTAGCAGACGCTCTTATCCAGAACGACTTACAGTTAGTGAGTGCATAAATGTTTTCATACTGGCCCCCCATGTGAATCGAACCCACAACCCTGGCGTTGCAAGCCCCATGCTCTACCAACTGAGCTACACGTAATGTAAACATTATTAAAGTGACTAGAGTACCATTTCTTAAAGTGGCCAGTGATTTCAATAGGCAGCAGCAGCCTCTAATGCGCTAGTGATGGCTATTTAACAGTCTGATGACCTTGAGATAGAAGCTGTTTTTCATTCTCTCGGTCCCAGCTTTGATGCACCTGTACTGACCTCGCCTTCTGGATGATAGCGGGGTGAACAGGCAGTGGCTCGGGTGGTTGATGTCCTTGATGATCTTTTTGGCCTTCCTGTGACATCGGGTGTTATATGTGTCTTGGAGGGCAGGTAGTTTACCCCCGGTAATGCGTTCGGCAGACAGCACCACCCTCTGGAGAGCCCTGCAGTTGTGGGCAGTGCAGTTGCCATACCAGGCGGGGATACAGCCTGACAGGATGCTCTCAATTGTGCATCTGAGGGTTTTAGGTGCTATGCCGAATTTCTTCAGCCTCCTGAGGTTGAAGAGGCTCTGTTGCGCCTTCTTCACCACACTGTCTGCGTGGGTGGACCATTTCAGTTTGTCGGTGATGTGTAAGCCAAGGAACTTGAAGCTTTTCACCTTCTCCACTGCTGTCCCGTCGATGTGGATAGGGGGGTGCACCCTCCGCTGTTTCCTGAAGTCCACGATCATCTCCTTTGTTTTGTTGATGTTGAGTGAGAGGTTATTTTCCTGGCACCACATTCCCAGAGCCCTCTCCTCCTCCCTGTAGGCGGTCTCGTCATTGTTGGTAATCAAGCCTACTACTGTTGTGTCGTCTGCAAACTAATGATTGAGTTGGAGGCGTGCTTGGCCACGCAGTCATGGGTGAACAGGGAGTACAGGAGGGGGCTGAGCACGCACCCTTGTGGGGCCCCAGTGTTGAGGATCAGCGAAGTGGAGATGTTGTTTCCTACCTTCACCACCTGGGGGCGGCCCGTCAGGAAGTCCAGGACCCAGTTGCACAGGGCGGGGTTCAGACCCAGGGCCTCGAGCTTAATGATGAGCTTGGAGGGTACTATGGTGTTGAATGCTGAGCTATAGTCAATGAACAGCATTCTTACATAGGTATTCCTCTTGTCCAGATGGGATAGGGCAGTGTGCAGTGTGATGGTGATTGCATCGTCTGTGGATCTATTGGGGCGGTAAGCAAATTGAAGTGGGTCTAGGGTGACAGGTAAGGAAGAGGTGATATGATCCTTGACTAGTCTCTCAAAGCACTTCATGATGACAGAGGTGAGTGCTACAGGGCGATAGTCATTTAGTTCAGTTACCTTTGCTTTCTTGGGTACAGGAACAATGGTGGCCATCTTGAAGCATGTGGGAACAGCAGACTGGGAAAGGGAGAGATTGAATATGTCCATAAACACACCAGCCAGCTGGTCTGCGCATGCTCTGAGGACACGGCTAGGGATGCCGTCTGGGCCGGCAGCCTTGCGGGGGTTAACATGCTTAAATGTCTTAATCACGTCGGCCATGGAGAAGGAGAGGCCACAGTCCTTGGTAGTGGGCCTCGTCAGTGGCACTGTGTTATCCTCAAAGCGGGCGAAGAAGGTGTTTAGCTTGTCTGGAAGCGAGACGTCGGTGTCGGCGACGTGGCTGGTTTTCTTTTTATAGTCCGTGATTGTCTGTAGACCCTGGCACATACGTCTCGTGTCTGAGCCGTTGAATTGCGACTCCACTTTGTCTCTATACTGATGTTCTGCCAGTTTAATTGCCTTGCGGAGTGAGTAGCTACACTGTTTGTATTCTGCCATATTCCCAGTCACCTTGCCATGGTTGAATGCGGTGGTTCGCGCTTTTAGATTTGCGCGAATGCTGCCGTCTATCCACGGTTTCTGGTTTTAATAGTCACAGTGGGCACAACATCACCTATACACTTCCTGATAAACTCAGTCACTGTTTCAGTGTATTCGTCTAAATTCTTTTCGGAAGCTACCCGGAACATATCCCAGTCCGCGTGATCAAAACAATCTTGAAGCGTGGATTCCGATTGGTCAGACCAGTGTTGAATAGTCCTTAGCACGGGTACTTCCTGTTTGAGTTTCTGCCTATAGGAAGGGAGAAGCAAAATGGAGTCGTGATCAGATTTGCTGAAAGGAGGGCCTTATAACCATCCCGGAAGTTTGAATAGCAAAGGTCAAGGATTTTAGCAGCGCGAGTACAACAGTCGATATGTTGATAGTCCTTAAATTTGCTTTGTTAAAATCCCTGGCTACAATAAATGCAGCCTCAGGATATGTGGTTTCCAGTTTGCATAAAGTCCAGTGAAGTTCTTTGAGGGCCGTCGTGGTATCGGCGTGAGGGGAGATATACACGGTCGTGACTATAACCAAAGTAATTCTCTTGGGAGATAATACGGTCGGCATTTGATTGTGAGATATTCTAGGTCGGGTGAACAGAAGGACTCGAGTTCCTGTATGTTACTACAATTACACCATGAGTCGTTAATCATGAAACACACACTTCCGCCCTTCTGCTTCCCGGAGAGATATTTATTCCTGTCTGCGCGATGAACTGAGAACCCATCTGGCTGGACCGATTTCGACAGAATATCCCAAGAGAGCCATGTTTTCGTGAAACAGAGTATGTTACAGGCCTTGATGTCTCTCTGGAAAGAAATCATTGCCCGTAGTTCGTCGACTTTGTTAACCAAAGATTGAACATTAGCGAGTAGGATACTTGGACGTGGTGGGTGGTGTGCGCGCCTCCTAAGTCGAACCAGCAGGCCGCTCCGAGTGCCTCTCCTCCACCGGCGATGTTTTGGGTCGGCCGCTGGAATCAGTTCAGTTGCCCTGGGGAGAGCAAACAAAGGATATGCTTCGGGAAAGTCGTATTCCTGGTCGTAATGCTGGTGAGTTACCGCCGCTCTGATATCCAATAATTTTTCCCGGCTGTATGTAATGATGCAAAACACTTTCTGAGCTAATAATGTAAAAAATAATACATAAAAAACTAAATACTGCAAAGTTTCCTAAGAGCTAGTCGCGAGGCCGCCATCTTCGTCGGCGCCAGGAGTAGATGAATTCCAGGAGTGACTGTGAAGAATGAAACATTGCAGGGTAGCTTAGCCCCAGCTCCGGAGCAACGCACCCTCAATCTCCTCCACTCCCACCTTCATAATGCACTTACAAAACAGCCTGTGAACTTGATGGGAGAGGAATTAACTGGAGCTCATTTAGGTCTGAAAGCGCAGGGCTGAGTCACGCTCAGCAAACGCTCAGCAAACCTCAGCAGTGCTCATTAAACAGGGGCCATGTAAACATCACAGAGAACCAGCCATAAGGTAGTGTTGGGATCTAGCACGGCTAATGTTAGGAGACGTTAGGAGCCCCTGGTCAAAAGCAGACTGAGGTGTTTGTCTGAATATAGCGTGGCTCTCTGGCTGTGGTTAGGTGCTGTCAGCTGCAGTGGGGGCTAAGCCTTCATTACTATATTAATTGGACCTCGGAGAAATAGACTGCATGGGCCACCCAGGGACTCTTAGAGCTCTCTTGGAATTCCTTATCAGTTTTCTGTTAGAGCACTGCTCTGAAGTATGTCCACTATACTGCATTGTCTGTACAGGAAAAGTCCCTGGATTTTTTTGCCACTTGTTTTGAAATCCCAAACTAGAACGTGTAATACACAGGGAAATGTGTTAAACTTGCAAATGCTGGGTGCTTACTGTACACCCTGTGTCCCATTATAGTACTTCAAAGCAATATATCTGCATAGCCTTTTAGAGGCCTTTTGAAGCTTGCTCATTGTGGATTCAGACAATAGACAGAAGCATGGTAATGCTATTTAAAGACAACAAACCCAGTGGCCTTTTGTTATGCAATAAACCTGCTTAGCTGGCTCCATTGTACTGGTCCACCTAGGATTACATGAGCAAACATTGAGGTATGAATCACCAATATAATATATCCCTTAGGTCAGGGATCATCAGCTAGATTCAGCCGCAGGCCGTTATTTTCTTGAGCGGATGGTCAGGAGGCCGGAACATAATTACAAAGAATTTGTAGACAGCAAATTGAGTGCAAGAAGCCCAAACAGATATAATATTTGACTAAAACATAATAATTTCAAACTTTGCTTACATTTGTATATGATCACATATCTCTCTATTATGTGTGGGAATACTTTTGAACAGATTTCCAAAATTAAAATCACTTGGAGCTGATTTGCTGGTGTTTTTACATTATTTTATGTCGAACAATTACAAAATGTAAAATATCAGAAAACCTGGGGGGGCCAAATAAAATCACTGGCAGCAAGCCGCCAGTTCGATAATCCTCCCTTAGGTCGTTAAGTATAGTCTGAAATGTCATAAGTCGAACTAAATGAACTAAAACACATATCCATAGGAGACTTACTCACTGTCTTTGCTGGGCTCTACATTTTTATTTATAGATTATGATTAACATTCTATTATTGATTAAATAGCCTAATATATATATATATATATATATATATATATATATATATATATATATATATCAGATCGAATAATTGTACTATTTATCCTATATAGCCACTTTGGTAGCCCAGTTCCCCTAATATTTGTTGCACAGAGCAGAGTTGGTGAAAGTGATGATGAAACAAAAGAAATGGCAACAGTAATCAAACATATGGATTTTGATTGTGATGGTCTAACGACAGTATATCCAAACCAGACCTGGTCGCCTCCGTCTCCTCTTCTTGGAGCCAAAGAGTTTGACCCGAGAGAACATAGACAACCGACTTGGTTTGTTCTCGCATTGCTTCGTCTTGTTCGGGCTGCCAACGCAGCGGCAGGCATTAGATTTCTCCCGCTCCCTTGCCTGCCTTTTCTGCCGAATAAGGGAGCTGGCTATCGCTGCAGCCATGGCCAGTTTGACGGTTTTCCTGAGAAAACTTCCAGACTATAAAAAAAATTCGCCTCTACCTCTTCCACCAGAGCGTAGGACTTCTACTTGAAAATCTTACTCAAGGCGCAGCGGTCATCCAAATAGCCCTTAAAAAGCGCAGTCGTTGTTCGTTAATTGTTCCTCCACTCTTCTTCAAAAAGATGCTAATTATATGTTCTGTAAATTGATAATTCTTCTGGTGGTTTTGTTGGGGGTAGCTTGGTAATGGTGCATCTTATCTCCGGAAAGAAGAAGTCGTCCTCAGAAAAATAAAAATATGAGAAATGTTCCACTCTCATGCAGCACAACTAGTTTACCAGAGCGCGATGTATTGATCCTCCAACTGTGTCATTTCCTCAGCATCATAACTAAATACGCACAGCACTGTTCCCCTAAAAGCCGGGTTGAACCATCCCACAAAAGCATGGACCGTGCACATCAAGAGTGGAGCAGAGGCAGGTGGTCTTGAACGGCACTTAATGCACACAGGAAAACACCTGTTAGAGAACACAGAGAGAAAAATTCCAATGCTGATGTTTTTCCCCTTCTCTTTTTGGTAGGTTAATCTCCCTCGTCACGGGCAAAGCGCTGCTGGTAAAGCGCATGGACTAAACCTGTTTAATATATAGCGACGGGTGAGGAGAGATATAGACTAGTTATTGTGGAGATTCCCTTAGTTTTTCCTCTCTTGTTCAAGCGTGGCGACATAAGTTAATGAAAAAGCTCTTCATTCAAATGTAGTATCAGACCCTAGTGCATGGCACAGTCTCAGCTATACTGCTGTGCTCTGAGGGAACATCCCACCTAGGCGTGCGTGCGTGTGTGTGTGTGTGTGTGAGTATGCCAATTACGCATATTTTTTACCATTAAATGATATAACGCAGTAGATCACATGGTCTACCCTAATTAATGTGGTTGTGGTCAGTAGCTGTGTGGTTTTGGTCAGTAGTTGTAGTCAGTAGTTGTGTGGTTGTGGTCAGTAGTTGTGTGGTTCAGTAGTTGTGTGGTCAGTAGTTGTGTGCTTGTGGTCAGTAGCTGTGGTCCGTAGTTGTGGTCAGTAGTTGTGTAGTTGTGGTCAGTAGCTGTGGTCCGTAGTTGTGGTCAGTAGTTGTGTAGTTGTGGTCAGTAGCTGTGGTCCGTAGTTGTGGTCAGTAGTTGTGTGGTTGTGGTCAGTAGGTATGTGGTCAGTTGTTGTGGTCAGTAGTTGTGTGATCAGTAGTTTTTTGTTTGTGGTCAGTAGCTGTGGTCCGTAGTTGTGGTCAGTAGTTGTGTAGTTGTGGTCAGTAGCTGTGGTCAGTAGTTGTTGGTCAGTAGTTGTGTGGTTGTGGTTAGTAGCTGTGGTCAGTATTTGTGGTCAGTAGTTGTGTGATCAGTAGTTTTTTGTTTGTGGTCAGTAGTTTTGTGGTTGTGGTCTGTAGTTGTGGTCAGTAGCTGTGTGGTTGTGGTTCAGTAGCAAGCGCAAGCTCCACTGCATTACCTTGGACAGCGACACTGCCCTTAGTGCCTTGAGAATTTGCCTACCACCACCGCTCCACTAGCCAGGCAGGACTGTGTGGAAGAGACCCAAACAAATGTGACCATGGTGCTCAAATGCGAGCCATAGTGACCAATGACTCGGAGTGTGGGCAACGCCCTGACAAAGTCAGAGATGGATTGGGCTATAACTCTGCCTCCTACACACTTGATCAGGTGAAGAAAAACCTGAATGCAGCCACTGGCAGAGAACAACAACAGCCACTGGGCGATGGAATAAATGAGGCTCGAGCAGAGACTGAGCCATCATCAATATGCCACATCCTGCCTGTCTGTCTGTCCCTAGAGCAGGGTGAGGAGATGAGCATGTGGCAACAACAGGAAGCTCGCGCCCACATTTTTCACCAGCGCATTGCCATGGCAGTGTGGCCTTTGCCAGTTTGCCCTGCACTGAGGGGCAGTTCAACTTCTGTTTATCTGGGCACAAATATGTTATTTACAATGAAAAATATGAAGAGGATGACGATGTTGAGGATAAACATGCATGAGAGCAACTGAATACAGCTTACGCCCCTGATTCAATCATCTACATTTTACTTGCATGCGTAAAATCATCAATAGCACGCAACTCTGTGAAACTGATAGGCTACGATTTTGGATGACAAGCAATCAAACAAACTCTCTCGGTACAAGACAGTAGGCTATGACAGGACAGGAGTCATGTCCTGTTATTGCGTCAACTGCAAGATCAAACATCTGTAGGGAGACAGCACCCCCTCACTGACAAGGCTACTGTCAACAACTCCCTGCAGAAGCAGCAGTAGTCTACTTCTCCTCACCCTCCCTCCCTCCCTCTGTTTCCTCTCCGTGCATCACATCGGAATCAAAGCCTCCACATGGGCGCCACCTACAGTCCAGATCTGAAGCTGCCGTACACAAACTTTACATCTGATATGATTCATAGATCAACAGTGTTGTACAGTATGTACAGTAGTAGGCTATATTGCATACACTGCCACACACAGACGCCAAAGACCAGATATAAATAAATATAAATGAGGACGAAACTGTCACTTCATTTACAAAGACATAGACTATTACCCAATCATCTTAATAATGCATCTATGCCAATCACAGAGGCAATAGACAATAATAAAAGCAGGGTTCTGAAAACACTCAAGGCTCCAGAGTATGCCGACAGCCTACATATTTAACAAAAAAAGTTAAGTAGGTTATAGGCTACATTTTCAAACTTGAACAACCATTAACATCAACCCGTGTGATCAAAATACATAATCTTTCAACATAGTTTAAAAAAAACATATTACCGATACATTTATTACAATTGATATGCACCAAAAAGTAAAATGTTGAATTCTATGCTTCAATTTCAGCAAGTAGGCTATTATACATACTAGGCTACACATCAACTAAATATAATAAGCGTTTGACCTCAGACGAGTTCTATATGGTAGCCTTCTACAGCACTTCTATCACCGAGGTCATTTTCCTTCAGCACCATGGACAGCTCCAGCGCCAGGGTGTGCGCATCTGTCAAAAACATCAATTTTCCGCCACAGATCATGCAGCACAACACAAAGTAAATACGATATTCTTATAATCAAGATATGAGACATATTCCACATCAAGTGCATCAGAAAGTAGGCTATGTCCCTAGAAGTCAAACAAACAGAAGAAAATGTGCAGAAAGACTTGGAAAGGAAAAGCGCAGCCTACCCGATGTAGATTTTCTCAAGGGAAAACTCTTGCTTCTATGCATAACTGAAGCCCCAAAAAAGTGTCCTCAATACGAACAATAGCCGTTGGATTTTGGAATGAAAGTGAGAAGATGCTACAGAAGTTTATTCCATATTATTCAAAGAACTGTCAAAGGCGTAGACAGAGAAAGCGTCTAGGCGGGGCCAGCAGAAGATGTAGAAGAAGATCATTAACGGATAGGCATTAGTGACATGCCATTATGACTGTCTAAAGTACTCATTAAAGATGCATTTGGAGGTCTTGTTGATCTGGAGTGTAGTCACTAAACTGCTGTAGCCTCTCTGAGTCGGAAAGGAAGAAAAGTGATCGAAATTACTCGTAGAGCTTGTACTTCCTGCCTAGAGCAGAGAATAGTTTCCTCTCATATTACAACAACATGGATGTAAAACGATCCTTTAATGTGCCGGGTAAAACGGTTATGCAGGCCCAGTCCACTTTCCACTGAAATGCATCGACGTACATCAATGATGACAATTCGCATTAGCAGAGGGTTTTTCCATGGAAGCTCTGTTGTTCTAGACACTTAAGAGGGGGTTTTAACAAGCTGGTACAGTGATATTAAAATTGCCTTTCCACATCGCACATGGCTGCTTTATCACGTAAACTGCCATAGACAACGGCAAACTTGAAGACATGATTCAAACGTTCTTACATTAAACAACCATCTACCATGTTTAATGAGAAATGACAGATACAGAATGAACATACCTAATGTACATAAAGTATAGAAGAAAATGAGTGCATTGTTGATCAAACTCTACAAGACAAGCACCAATCATTGTAATGGCTAATATATTGAAGGCCTAAACTGTGTTGAATGTGATTCTCTTGTATACTGTAGGGCAGGGGTATTCAACTCTTACCCTACGAGGTCTGGAGCCTGCTGATTTTCTGTTCTACCTGATAAGTAATTGCACTCACCTGGTGTCTAAATCAGTCCCTGATTAGAGAGGAACAATGAAAAATAGCAGTAGAACTGGCTTCAAGGTCCAGAGTTGGGTTTGAGGGCTGTAGGGAGATATTTTGATGCAGATCCTACACAGTGTTGAACACTAGATGGGGCAAGTGACCAGCCTTACATTGTTGTTGCAGCCTTGCCATTGAAGTTGGCAATAACCTGCGCTTGAAAAAACAGACTTACTGAAAGTCTGTAATAGTATGACCTCTAAATATATTAACTATATATTTAAGACTTGCAACTTAGACATGTATGTACTGAATGTATGTATGTGTATCAATCTGTATCAATCTCCATAAAACCATATGTTTTGTTCCATGCTCTGCCCATCAATAATCCTGCCATATGATAAGTGGCCCCCAACAGGGACAAGAGGCAGACCCCAGGTTCTACTATAACATCTTGTGTCTCAGCTCCACTCTGGATAAGCTGAGACCATCAGTCAAAGAGGCAGGTTAGCTCTAGAGGATGATAGCATGGATACTGAGGAAAGGAGGGGTGCATGAAACAACAGCAATACTAATACAACATCACAAGAGATGCTTGAAAGTGTCTATGTGTATCTTCAAGCATTTAATATTAGACTTTATATACATCACAGAAGACTGAAATATAACAAAACCGTTTGACATAGAAACACTGGGTTTTCTGCGATAAAAAAAGAAGTAATGTTTATTAATTATGAAATTATGAAAAATATTACTAACATTCCACCCATGAGGCCACTAGAGGGCGATTTGGTCATTTGACTGCAGGAAAGGGGTCTACA